CGGGGCCAAGGTCCTTGGGGTCTCCGGCGTGCCCGCCAGGAGGAGGCGCAAGATGAAGAGGAGATCACCTGGATGCGCAAGGCGGGGCTAATAGGCCGGGAGGATTTGGTCCCAAACCGCCGCAAAGAAGTGTTGTTGCGTGTGGTGGCGCTCACGGCGCAGAAACATTGCGAGACGACATATCTTGAGAAAGGTGTACATCAACCAAGCTAGTCGTGTCCGTTGGTCTCCTTTTGGTTTTCCTTGAGTACCAATCCAACAGTTGTCCGAAGTCCATCACCTTACCTCAAGCCCCCTAGGCTACCCCCAGCACCACTGCTATATCCCCACTTTCAATCCCTAAAAATCCCTGAGAAAATCCGAGTATCCCCTTAACCTGAGTTTTGCGTTTGATCGCGTGATTCCTCTGGGACATTCCAGTAGTTGATGGCTGGGATTCGACGATGCTGAATGCAGCAATTGCTTGTAACATGGGCCATGATGACCATGCTCAAAAGACTCCTTTGGATGCTGGGATGTTATTAGGCACTCTCATGGATCTGTCTATTTCGGCGGTTAGCAACCAGCACACTAAGCATCCGTGGGTAAGCGAACCATTTTGCCGTTAATTGTCTAGTGATGAGTTAAGTCAACCACCCGCAGAAACAATTTGCACATGACATGCTTAAACGACAATCGTCATGGACCCCGCAATGGGGAATGAAAGCAACCATGATAAGGGTTCCTAGTAGGGGAGCCGTGACCGTGCCCATGACTTAGTTTTAATGGTGCCTTCATTCAAAGCTGGGTGCTAAAGAGAGCACAATGTGTGATTGCCCCAAGAGAAAAAAGAAGGGATGGATAGCTTTTCAATATGTCCAGATCCTCTATCTGTGCATGTCTCAACACAGGGATCTTCTATTGAATGGCGTTTAAAGCGAAGAACCTGCTCAATTTTGCGAAGCACTCACATGGAAGTGTACAGATCTTGAAAGACCCGTTTTACAAAAGTCAACCTAACCTAACAGACGCCCTATTTAGCACCTATATTAAACCTCCATACCCCCACCTTGTAGCGAAAAGACGTTCTTTCCAGCGCTTTACCTGGATGTTTTCCAGGCCCCCGGAGGCGACCCGAAGCTTCGAACTTCGAGCTCGGACTCCAGGCAGCCACAGAGCCCCCGAGAGAGCCGTCCAACATGAGGCGGGCAAAAGCGCCGAATTTTCGGCGGGGGCCATTTCTTGGGGGAAACCCATTCGCAGTCCGCGGTTGGCCAGGCTCCTGTTTTCATGGATGCAACATTTCAAAGTTTCACCCGCAAAACCCGGACAGGCTGACGATTTGGTCCCTGTCTTTGTCGGAAACAAGTAATTTTGCGCCCTTTTGGCTCTTTGATCCTTGTGATTTGCATCTGTTTGACAAGAAAGACCTACCCCCTCCAGGAAAGGGTCTTCCAAGAGGGTTCTGTGCATGGTGTTTCTCAAAGGGACCCTTCAAATATTTCCGTTTGGTTTCCCTTCACCATCCAAAAAACGGGGACCCGGGTTTTCAGAAACACCCATGCTCTTTGGAGGGGTGTGAATATGAAGTACAATCGAGTGCTGGGCCCTCAGCTTTATGTTGGACAGGAATCTAAGCGAAAGCTGATCCAGATCGCTACAACAGGCAACCAGCCATGTTTGCCTCTTGCTTGCGTCCGGATATTCCACAATGAGGTAACCAGGGCAAGCCATATTTAGAAATAATCCTATAGGTACCTACCTACTTTTGGTTGTAGTTGGCGGCGGCTTTGGTTTCACATGTTCTTTTCTTTGGCAGTTCCTGCAGTAACTGGAGGCACTGGGTACCCCGGGCCAGGCGAATGCTCGAAGGGGACACCGGCGAGGAGTCTGAGAGTTACAGCACCTCCAGCAGGACTCAGCGGTGTGCAGAACAGGTTGTGTTTTAGGATGCAGCCCAGACACCCGTTATAGGGGTGAGTCTCTATTAAGGCAATTAGGGGAATATGCCTCTTGTACAACAGATGTTATTCAACCGTGGCACATGTGCAGAGGTCAGCTAGCTTCCATGCCTCTCTGGAATTGGTTTGAGCAGGTCGAAAACGGGGCCTGCTTGTTGGGATGGCAGCTAAGCGTAGCTACGATTCTTTGGAAGGAAACAAACATGATCGCACCCCAAGCAACTTTTGCCAAAGTGCCATGATGTGTAGTTGCCAAAGTGCCTACTCCACACCGAGGTTCGGGCAAGATATCAATTCCAACACATCCGACGGAACCATGATCATGACCCCGCAAAAGAACACTACCCCCGTTTGGAGAGCACCCTTAGTCGGAAGTTACCAGCGACGTCCCCGGAATCGACCGAACCGACTTCCGAGGCCATGGAAGCGCGACGAGGGCACTAAACCCCGGGTCCCTGCAGATCCATCAACGATAATCATGATCCAACAACCATCAACCGTTATTCCGGCTCTCCCATGAGGGGAACTTGCGGGTTTTACGGATCGCAAACGTTTGAACAGAAGCTTTCTCCTGACCCCAGCCAGCTAATTCAAGCGATCATTGCCTCAGGAGCGGCCGATACCTCGGGAGCTCCCGCACAGGCTATGGGCCCCTCGTTTTCCTGAGACCTGTGCCCCTTTGGGCTGGTTTCAAAAGGCCAACTCCCCCCTCCGAATTCACGCCTTTCCAAGTTTTGGAAGAACCTGGTTTTTCATGGTAAATACCTCACAGTTTAGTATCCCTTTAGGTTGATACGCGAAACTAAAGGAAAACCGGCCAGCGTTGGGGTTCCCCTTTGAGACAAACCGCTATGAGACTTGGGACCCCGAAATCAAAACCTTATCCACCTTGTCACTGATCTTGGCATGCTTTTCACCTCTTAGGTTTCTAGCTCCTTTCCCATTGGCTCGTTTGCTTTTGTGCTTCTCCGTAGTGTTTGCGTGGTTGTGTTGTGTTCTGGATGTTTGAGGAACAAACAAAAAGTACACATTTGCAGCAGGAAATAGTTCTGGATGAAGATCCGATTGAAGCAGAAACAACACCAGCGTCGCGTGTGCGACTGTTTGGCAAACTGAACGTTATTTTTTTGTGGGCAGCATTTCCCTTTGCTAGTTTTGAGACAAAACCTGCAACTATGCCGTCCAACCGAACAAAACGTGATTGGTTCTTTGCCAGGCTATACACAGCGGTCCTTGCTTCTTTGGCCAGCCACATGAGTGTATTTTGTTGTCACCTTACCTTTGGGACAAAAACACACAATAACCAGCAGACAGTGTGGGATGTTTTTAGCAAAAGCAGGTTGTAACCCCACTTAAAGGGCACTCACTCCTTCTATCGTGTCTCTTCTGAAGTGCCCTTTGATCAGAACGCCAGTCCCAACGACCAAGCCCTCCTTTTTGCATGGAACTCAGGTTCGGTTTCGCAGTTTCAGCGGCATTTCCGGAGTCGCTTGCTCAAAATCCGAAGCATAGGAGACAGTCCCAGCCATGGTTTTGGGTAGACCATTGTAACGGTTTTGATCGTGACTTCGATGGCTTTAGAGATTTCTTGGCTCGCCTGAAGCGGGAATGGGGCCTGGGAAGTTGACCCATGAGTTCTCATGCAAAACGGTCTTCCTGGACAGGAATGCAACCACAACAGGGACTCCCAAGATGAAGAAGTAGGGGGGTAAGCACAGTCAGGGGCCAAGAGCCGGTCTAGTTCATGTTCGCCTTTGAATATGGCAGAATGCCAAGGCTAGTTGAGTCGTGACCCCCCCCGCCCAACATTAACAGGTCGGAGGCTGTGACGTGAGCTTCGTTCGAACCCCAGCCTGTCACTATAGGGTTGTCTGGCAATGGTCCACCCGAAACCTGGTGTGCGGCCTTTGTCACCCCGTGTTTGTTAGCCATGGTACGGTTTGTTGTTTGTGAAACCGACGTGAACTCAACGGCCATTGTATGACTTGGTTTGGAGTTTGTAATCCGGTTAAGGGGTAGATGGATTCAATTTTGAGGTAAGTTACACTACACGCAACATTTTAAATGTAAACTGATGCTTGAACCGGTAGTTTGAACAGAAATCCCAGTAGTGTAAGTGGTAGATTTCACTAAATTTTGAGATGTAGGATGTTGCTCTGCCTTTTTCATGTCAAGCTGCGGGAAGTGAGGTTGGCGAGACAGTGGGTGGGTCCAACCGTCACAGAAGTTCATGGTGAAATGGGGGGCAATGTAAACCCCCGATCAATCATTCCTTAATCCGGCTAGCCATCAGCCTCAGCTATCAACATGTTTTTGTGCGTTCTTGGTTCACTTGTTTAAGATTGATGCTTTCTGCTTGATGTGCACCAACCAGCAGTTTGACACCGTGCCTTGCCTGATATGGAAAACCCGTGTTTGGTTTATGGTGTGGACGTGCTGAGAGTCATTCAGCGAGGTTGCATAGACAATCAATCGCAAGATAACACCGATACTTCTGGTCATCTTACAAGCTCCATGCACATTGCACGAGCATGCGATCAATCGCAGCAAGCAAATTCATACTGAGAGATAAGATAGGCATTTGGAAGGTTGCCATGATTACTAAAGTTAAAATTGCATACGTGCGTGTGTGGATAGTCAAATGAATATGCACTATGTTTTTCGTTATATAAATATAGCTGCAAGGCTCACTCAATGAATTTCTGGACTTTATACTTTTTGGTGGAGCAACCGTGCAAAACCACATGGAACGCGGCTGGTTACCTTCTGTACTGGTCACTGGGATCCACTAGGATGCAGACACACATATGGTTTTTTTGTTCGTTCTTTTCTTTTTTCGTGGACACTAACCATTTGTGGTTTTCCGATTTCGCTTTAAACCGAAAAAAAGGGGTACCCTCAACAAGCACAACACACCCAAAAGCATACCATCCACGACCATCCACCCCTTAGGCTTCTGGGAGACTTCGTGCCTTGACCCTCATCGGAGGCTCCGGTCACAGCAGCCCCCGCTCTCCTTCGGCGTCGGGCTCCTCGTGGTCTTCCAACTCCAGCGTGCCGGGAGCCAAAAAAACGGGCGACATCCCAACACCCAAGGGTTCTGCCAGTTTCAACATGGTGAAGATTCCTCAAGAATTGGGTTCCCTCAGTTTCAACGTGGTGAAGATTGTCTAACTACACACTAATGAACTGTTCTTGTGCTACTTCACATTTCTTGCTTGCAAACACGTACCTTGTGGACGGCGCAGGAAGGCGGTAGTAGCAAATAGGCTGTAGGTTAAACGTGTGACCGGTTAGAGCCAAGGTGGCCAGACGGTGTTGCCGGGATGTTTTCCTGAATATACTTGAAGCGTTGCGGACAAACGTGGTGATTCAAGATGCAGTGTAGTGTTCTCCTTCTTGTCGGCAGCTTAGTAAGACACCATGGGAGACCTGAAGTCGGCTGTTTGGACTTGAAGATATTATTTCCTTGCTGTTCTTGGCAAGTTGTTTTGTTGTTCTGTTTGGTTGTTGGTTCTGTTCTTGCTTCGTGGGCTGCAACAGACCTGTTTTGTTGCTACCATACCAAGGCTTGACAAGTTGTACCCGAAACCACGGCCCCCAGTGAAAAAGCGGGTATATACCCTTTATGCAGTGGCTATATAGTGGCTGCATATGCAATTAGTTAATTTCCTGGGATTAGGGGTTTGAGGGTAGTGGAAACCATCTTAGACAGTGGTGCCCTTGTTCCTTCCTTGGTGGCTGCCAGAGGGTGCCCTTTTGCCCGCGACTTGTGATCGACATCTAAATAGCTAAATGCCTTCCTATTCCCTTTGGCTTGGTCACGGAAAGTCAACAACCAAAAACGAATCCAGTTCTTGTTCTAAAAAAGTCACCAGGCAACTGGGAGTAGCCAATGGTCAAATACTGATTCAGAGCCACAGGAAGATTATTGGAGGGTGCAGCCGCACGTCAATTGCGGAACTGTTGTCCCAACAAATTACCCCCTCTCCTCCCCCCACCCCCCTGCGCCCCCAAAGATAGCAGTAGCCTCAAAGAATAGTCAGGGCAATCATAAGGGGCCATAATCCCACCCCCAATTTGTCACCCGGCCATGTGCCAGCCATCCGGGGGGCCGGGGTTTGGGTTGGCGGGGACTCGGATTTGTGGAGAAAAGAAGCCCCGCGCCGAGGGCAGAGAAGGAGGGCGAGCTGTTACAGGCCAAGCCGGGTTTGGAGTTTGCGGATTTCGTCGCTTTTTCTTTTGTGGCAAGTTGCAGTTGTTTGCGGATTTGTGTGAACATTTTTGAGTGCCCTGCAAAAACCATGTGTTTTTGGGAGTTACCATAACAAGGTTTGGGATGATGTCTGAAAAAAGAAGACCTTTTCTGGTGTGGTTTCCGAATGCTTTACGGGGACACCAAAAGGAGACAACGCACGTTGGTCCCTATTCTTTGAGCAGTGTAGAAGAAACTTTGAGGTGATCGCCTGAATTTTTCTTCTGGGCAACTGGGCCAACACACTCCATCTCTGAGACCGGCACATGAGCCACAATCAAAAACCTGAGTAATTAGATGATCCGGTTTGTAAGGGACAATCTCCTTGCCATAAATAGCTACGGATATCCGTCTTATTTTTAGAAGCATGGTTCTGGGACGACCATTTGAATACAAAGGGTTCTGAGCAAGTGGCTCACCTGCCAGCGCGAAGGGAAACCCAAAGGAGCGGGGCCGACAGATGGGTCGGCCAGTAGGGCCCCGGAGAGCGAATGGATTCGGCTCAGCGTATTTTGGGTCTCTCGAAGCCAAGGCCAGTGACCTCATGATGATGGCCGAAGGACGATGGCTTTCCGGTCAAGCGCCAAATCCAGAAGCTCGGGACGCGTTAGTAGGAACATCCCGCTTCCAGGCGTGCCTAAACCAGAAGCCTCACTACAAGTTGTGGGCCACTTCTACAGGAAGTCTTCTCGAGCTGGTTCACTTGGCAGAGTTCTGAACATACAATGTGACTTGGACAGGCAGAAGTCTACAAGTTCACTGTTCGATCTGAGGTTCATCGGCAAGATGATGGTGATGTAGACATCGAGCACCTACGAACAAGCCTCCAAGCACTTGTAGAGCGAGAGTTGGATGAAGATCCTTGACCAGCCTAGTTCTCAGCGAAGTGGAGTGATGAGTTGCCCACTAGAACAGGTCAAGATCTTGGAGCTGTGAAGACGGAAGCTGTCGGGGATCCTCTTGGGAAGGATCGCAGCCCCCGGCACCCTTCAAAGTCATTGGATCGCAACAGGTGTCCTTTTTAAGGTCTACCCAGCGGGTTGCTTGCTTTTTAATCAACTTTTGGAGGGGTTTCTCATTATCAACTTCTCAACAAACCTTGCTGGTGCTCGGGAATGACCGTTCCGGAATGAACCGGTTTTGGGGATCCTCGAAGGAAACCACAGCTATGATGGTTCATGTTGGGGTCACTCCATTTCTCATTTATGAACCTAGGGATTGCCTTCAAGAAAACCACCAGTTGGATGGCTTTTCTGGGGGGTCATTCCATTTCCCGTTCCCGCCAGGCACGGCCGCCGCCCGGTAGACCTCCAGAGAACGTGCCGCGCAGGCGCGGCGATTTTTTCTTTTCGAGCCGAGCCGACCGGGAACCCCGAGCAAAATCGGCGGCGAAATCTAGTTGGGTTCCTGGAAACTGTCCGGCAGCCCGAAGAGAACCGGTTGGTTTAAGAGTTCTAAGTGTTGATGCCTGGTTGGCTATGATTCTTAAGAGTTGGAACCTCCTCAAAAGTGGTTTGTGGAGACGAACCCCACCGAAATCCGACGCCCACCACTGGGTCCCTAGAATGTTTCCCCTTGAATGCCACTTAAAATCCGCCAGCCCTACTTTAGACAATTGTGCTTGTTGATTTTCATTTAAAGCTCGTTGGGCATGAATTTGCATTGGTGACCTCTTGGTAGACATAGTGGGGATTCATGTCCGCGACCACTTTTGAGGTGGTTCCTAATAAAGTCTAGCCACACGGACCCCCCAAAACCATGTCGCGGAATCTCCTTTCGGGGGACGTTGGGGGACCCAAGAATTGGGTTCCATGTCAGTTCGCAGAGCAAGACTCCAGGATGTTCTTGACGCATGTGGGTGAGAGCTATTTGGGCGCTTCCTCAAAGGGGGAAGCCCTGTAAATGGTTGTCCTTCAGCTTCCCCCCAAAAGCGTTGTAACTTTGAGTTTGACGAAGGGAGGTTTCAGCCTTTTTCTCTTGAGGGGACCCTCCGCTGTTGCTATGTTTTCTCAAAATGGAATCCCCAAAATTGAGTGGTTTCCCCGGGGTTCCATTTTGGACAAGCCCCAAATGGTAGCCTCGAGAACCAGACACCTGCGACTGGGCTGGGACCCTTTTTGACCAGACGCTGGCTTTGGTTTTCAATGGCAACTCAAGTCGGGTCTTAAGACCTGGCTGTTTGAGGGCCCTTTAACAAGTCGGAGGCAGGTACTGTGGTAATTATTCAATTAAAGCGTTGCTAGAGGTTACTAAGCACTTCGCCAACTCCCCGATAATCTGATGTGGCATGGTAGGGAGGGCTCCCATTCAAAATAGGTCATGATGATGATATATATATATATATATATGGATGTTCGTTTCTCTCACCAATGAAATGGAAATAGCTCACATTCGGGCACACATAGAAAGAAAACCAGCATGCAGGCCAGCCTTGTGAATGGGCTTCTGGTTTGGGCACAGAGCAACAAAAGTATGATCGTTGCTGTCGCTTTTGTGGGCGTGGCTCGCTTTCCACCATTTCTCACAAGCGCTAGACACAAAATTCGCATGTCCTTTTGGGAGAACAAGAAGTACTGTTAGGGACCAGATGTGTCACGGTTGACCTTTAGTATATCTAGGGACCCTCAAATGGGCGGTGTGCCTTTGGTTTTCCTTAGTTCAATCAAGCCCCGTCATGTGAGCCCCAAGGCTCCCAGCCACCATATGTGCGGAAAACAAAAAATGGTTCTAGGGTTAATTGCTTTCTGTGATAAGAGCATCATCCCTTAAAACTACTTCACTGAACACTGTTACAATCCAATTGTATTGATGCACCTCTGTCTACAGTTAAGTTATGTGTTTGATGAAGAAGATGTCACATTGACTCCGAGATTAGACGGTAATCCTCAGTTATCACATCTTTATATCTTATTTTAGGAATATCTGGTTGTCTACCCCACCTCTCACCCACTGAAGCTTGACGGGAGGAGCCTTTTCATGGTGATTCGGTCTCAAGCCTTGACCCCAAAGGCCGAAACGGACCCTTTGGAACCGAATTTCGGTTTCCACACCAACCCAGGGTCGAAAATTCCACCGGGGGCGGAGGGAGCTGCGCTTTTTTCTTGGTCGGCTGAAGCCGGGGGGGGGTGTCACGGGCCAAACTTTTTCGCGGCCTCGCTCAGACGCTATGACAGCGTGCCGAAGCTGAAGGGCAGCGGCAAGGCCAGGGCCAGGACGACGGCTGGAGGTCTTTTGGTGACTTGCAGCAGGCAAAATGGTCACCTGAGTAAAGAAGAATAGCTCACGGCGAAGGTCCTGGCCGGCTTCCTGATTGTTTTTCTAGCTGTTTTATGGCGACCTCACCAATTCGCGGGTAAAACGAGCCAGCACAGGATGGGGGCTTCCTTGTTTCAGGTTTTGGATTTCTAAACATTACAGATTGCATGCTGGTCGATGTATTTGGATTCGACTCAACTACGCAGATTTCTCAAAATGCAACCCATTTGAAGATTTGAATGGCAATCACAGGGCGCATCATTCATGAGAAACATTGGGATGCCTGAGAAGGCTCTGTCCCAACCTTTCCCGGGCGGATTGGGGAGCTTTTAATCTCTTATATTTGCTGAAATGAGTATGATTTGCAATCCCCGCGTTGGCTTACAAATCAGAACTTATCACTGCAGGGGACTTCAGCAAATAGAGCTGATTGTACGCACTACATGAACCCATGGTCTACGTTGGCTTCCTTCAGCACTGTGTTTCCCATAGTTAAGCCATGAGCAATGAATGAAGCCATAAACTAAGGGTTTATACCGGGTTTCGTGTACCAGGGGTTTCGTGTACCAGGGGTTTCGTGTACCAGGGGTTTCGTGTACCAGGGGTTCATACAATTTCCTATTTGACTGTGTCTTGTTGTCCCCGTGGTTTGCCTTCAATAAGACCCCAAAGCGGGGACCCTTAAGAAAGGACACACCCAGTTTGGAGACGAATGCTGTCGCCTCTCGCGCAGGGCAAGGCGCCTCCTTTACCAGCAAAGGGGGCTGGCAAGGCGGGGCGGGTGGAGGACTTGCTTAGGCAGGACCCCTGAAGAAAACCTAGGGTCCCCGCGCACAACCACAACCCAAGAAGGGTTCTGAGAATGGTGGTAAGGGGGTCCTACTGATTCGCCCTACCTATGGATCGTCCCGCATAGTTGCTTTGGCCCACTGGTTCATTCCCAAAACTTAGGCCCTGTGGATTCCCTACTCAGCACCAGCAAGAGAAAGGTTTGGTTGAGGCCTTTGCCCAACGTGAATCGACCTGAAGACTCTGTTTCTTCATACTTAATTATTCATGAGCCCAAAAGATGATCACTTTGATTTTGAGGTCCTTTTGTAGTCTCACAGGGTATGTTTTGCTGACTCCGAACAAAGCTCCAAAGTGTTGTTTGGCAGTTTATGTTGTTTTAAATTCCAAGGTTCACCTCCAAAATGCGAGCGTTGTTTTGCTCGTTTGGGGCCTCATGGATCGGGAAAGTGTCCTTAGATCGCCTCCGGCATCAGCTTGCCGCGCATGACCTTGTCGCGGCAGTCTTGCGACTGCATTCCAAAGGCTTCATCGACTTAGATGTCAAGCGGAGAAGCCCCACTCCTCAATTTGACTTAGGATACATTTTACATTTTACCAGTGACTCAAAGTGAAGCAAGCAATACAATATACATTCTATAACTGGGCCTAACTCTAGTCATGACTCAATTAACTCTAGTCATGACTCAATTGCTGGGCAGTTGTCGGGAGGGCATACTTTAGTTTCTGCTGGGCATTCCAGTAGCATTCCCTCACTGCCGTTCAGGGATGCGCAAAAGCAGCGTCCAACCACAGACTTGTCATTGATACCTGGAGTTGAAGCTGCGAATGGATCCGCTGGTTTTAATGTTAACCTCGGATGAATCTGGAGGATCATACTTTTCTTGGGTGGCCCCCCCTTTTAGTAGGGAAATTTGCAAATTTTGCGAGGTTCCTCTGACCAGTAGTGTCCTTAGCAAGAAGCCAAAGTTCACATCAGTTGCTTTGCTGGGCACTTTCTCTACCCTGGTTTCATTTTGCCCACACTCTCTCAATTTCTTTTGCGGCGTTATACGACGTGTCAACCACCGAGAGTTCTGTTGGAGTAATTGCTCCATTGAGTTATAAGTGGTTTCCTTGGCTGTAACTGGAACTGCGAACCACACAAAATGTTAGCGTCGGATTCGTACGCCCTTCCCCCCCCCCCCCCGCCCCCGAAGGTCAAACTTCAGATTCAACGGGGTGCTCGGGAGACGGCAGTCTGCGGAGCAGGTATTTATGGCCGTTCTGCGGGATTGGGACGCATCCGAAATTAGGTCAAGTTTTAAGTGGGCTGGAAGTGAATTCGATTGACTGTTTCTGCGGGAAACATAGCAGCAGCATAGCAACTTGGCCGCAAGCCCATCAGGTTGACCTTACAGGAGATAAAGGGCCAGTTGAGTCCCCAAGGATTTGGCCCCATGCCCAGAAACCTGTGACCACGCCATTATTTGTTTTCCTTAAATTCTGGCAGGGTAGTCAACACATGTATGGTCTACTGAAGCGCCGCTCTTTATTTGTTTTGTTATGGCAAACCCAAAGGGGGGGGCTGTCGTGGCTGTTCCGGTTCCCACGACTTTTGGGCAAGAGTTTACCGATATGTGTGCCATGACTCACTCAAAGTCAAACTTTTAATTCGGATCAACAAACCACAACACTTTTTCCAACAATCACGGAGGCTGACAGCAGTGTTTTGGAAGACTCCATTCCTCTCGAAAAGGCCTCCTGTCCACTTCTATGGTTCTTCACTGTTCTCGGCATGTGTTGTTTGAAGTCTTTTTGGTGGCTGAAACAAACAACTTTTTTTCTCAGATGCCAAGGACTGGACAGTGTTGGACGGAGAGTAGCCACCCAAGGGAGCGACACGGATTGCTTGCAGGCGCCCAAGGCAGCGCCCAAGGCGCTACCCATAGGCCGGGTGAGGTTTGGGTTCTGTGCGGTTGGTTTTGTTGAAAACACCTAGGTCCCCCAGTGCACTTTTACCGTTTCTTTTTTTGGGGAGGGTTCCCCTACTAGACTACAGAAAAAAGGTACACTTATTCTGAGCTCTCCACTGCAGGACCTAGACACCCCCATTTGGTTGGTCTTAAGATGTGTCAAGGTGAAGCTAAACGGACGCCAGTCATGGTAGGGGCAGTTGGGTGCGGGCCAGAAGTTCGACTTATTTGCAATGTTCTCATCTAGCGGCACACATATATATATATATGTTTGAGCCCACATTGTTTGAAGCAAGTTGTTGTTTTGCATAGAAAGCCACTTGGTTGACATGTCATTCTCGATTAATCTCAGGTCAATCTACAGGCGCCCATTCTTGGGACCAGGAATGAATCGAGTCAGAAACGCTTGCGGCCACTTTACTGTTCATCTAACAGGAGTCCGGAACCCAAAAGCCAACCTTCTACCCTTTGGGTGGTCTTTCAGGTTCGGTACTCTCGGGATTGGTTTAAAAGGAAACCAAAAGGAACCCAACCATTTTGCAATTTTGATGTCCCCCCTTGACATATCTCGCTTTCCAGGGTTCAAGAGGTTGACAGCATTTGGCAGGGGATTTATGTCCACCAACCACTTTTGGATCGGTTCCGTATGAAAGCTCATAGCCAACTGAACCCCCAGACAAGTCTGAGGGTTTTTGTATTCCACCCTGGGATTACGCCCTTGGGAAATGACGAATGCTTGAAAATACCACGGTTTTATCCGGAAATGTGCCTAAATGGGGTAAATACCATTCCCAGGGTGTAATACAAAAACCCTTAGAACAAGGCTTTATCACGGTTTGCTAGGTGAGACATTCATCGCCATTGTTCAAAAGGTACAGCTTCAAGGTCGGACCAAAGAGCCACCAATAAGTTCGCATAGCTCCAAGTGCAAAACCTACTCGTTGTGTGCTTGTTGTTGGGAGCATATTGTCACAATCAAACAGAATAGATATAGTGTTGCTGAAGGCACCGTCTTATACCATATACCCGTTATCGTGATATTTCTCACCTCAGCTCCAAAACTCATACCTGTGCCCAAGCGCAGGTCGGCGCCTGTCCCTGAAGCCGCCGCTTCCCCAGACCAACTTGGTTCCTATGGCCCCCAAAGAGGAATTGGACCCCGGATTTTCAGAGACCCGAAACGGAAGCCTGTTGGCTTATAGCTTTGGCCTTTTATGGGGGGGAGTTCCTTCAAAATCAACGACCTGCCCCGTTTTCTGAGCCCCTGTGGGTCTGGGGTGGATGGGAGTTGCTAAGTTGCGGCTGCGCTCTATATTTCTTCTCGGCGAATGGCCAGGCTCCTAATTCGTTTGTCTCAACAGAGCGATGGGTTATCAATTGAAACTTTGGGGTCTATTGTAAGACATACGGTTAACTGCTGGTCTTGCTGTTGAACGGTTTGCGAAAGTGGGCGTGTCGACTTGTTTGAGATTTGTTTGAAGGGACATCCGGGAAATCGGAAGGCACTACCATTTGTGGGTCCAAGGTGGTTTGTGGAAGTAGGTTGGGGTACTTGCGTTTCCTGTAAAAACAACAGCCTCAACAGGTGTTTTGAGTTTTGCAAGCCGGACACTGGCCTAAACAGGTGTGTCATAAACCTGTGATCCCTGGTTGCCTTCCAAGCCCAAATCCCCTCAAAAAGCGCAGACCTGCGTGGGTTTGGCGTGCCGGGTAGTTCACGATGCTACCTCCTTGTTGAAACGGAAGCCGGTCAACCCAAAATTGCCTTTTCTTCCGCTGCAAATTAGCATATTCATTGTTATTGGCATGTGTTTAAGTGTTTTTGGGTTCTGTTCATGTTTGCGGGCTGGCTGCAAAACCAGCAAGGCTTTCTGCTCTGATGCCAAGCATTCGAAAGTCCTGGCCCCTCAAAGAAGGGGTCCAATTCCCAAAAGGGGATTCCTCCACGAGACGGTTTGGCCTCCATGTGCTTTCCCACGTACATCAGCAACCATCGATCCGTCGCAACTTGCAAGTCCTTTTGAGCATGTCTGAAAATAGTGGACCCCCAATGGGTGGTTTTCCCCGGAACTGTCCTTTAAAGCAACCCAAAAGGGCGACCCTTCGCCTCAAGAAATGACAAGCCTGACCAATTTCCCGCAGCCAGAAGTCGCCTCAGGAGCCCAGTGGCCGAAGCCTTCAAGACTCCTCGGACACAGGTGCGAGACTTGTGGCTCAAAAAAGCGGCACCAATGTTTGGGCCCCTTGGATGGAAACAAAAACAAAAATTGTGTAACCCCAGCTCTTTAGTTTTGAGCACCCACTTGTCTCCAGACAGCCCAAGCCCAGAACCCCCAGTGGTGCTTTTTTTTTGGAGAAGGATCACTTTAACATGAGTTACCAAAGAGTGCCCTTTGTTCCCTTGGCCACTTGTCTGGGGAAAATGGGTGGGGAGTCTCGGGAAGGTTTGTCACCAGTTTGTTCCATGGCTTGTTTCTCATGGCTTTTGATCCACGTGTTGTCCTTGTGGATGTTGAAATACGGGACCCCACACATGCACTCTTGCTGTTCTGTTGGTTTCAAGTGTAAATCAAGCTAGACAGGGCGTGGGTTTAGGTCGGTTCTGCATGACGTTGTCCTTCAAACTTGACACAAACCCAAAAAGGATGCCCATGAAGAGCCTCATGAAGGACCTGGAATTGAGGCTTTGGAATTAGTTGAGATCCAGGAACCAGGTCTTATTTGATTAGCTTGGTGTTAATCTGAAAGGTGTTATCATTCTGGGGACAACTTTAGCATGAAAGCTGAAGCGGACAGGGTGAGAACCCCTCCCCAACAAAATCAGCAGTTTCCTCTTTGTGTCGCGGTCAAACATTACAATGTGCAGCACCCTTTGGGGCTGACAGGACTGTCGTCGAACCAATTCGGAAAATTCGTCAACCATATCCAAGAGACACCATGGCCAAGACCTACATTTAAGCAGTTATCTTAGCTCAGGAACCCGACCACCACCCAAGCCTTGTTGTAGCCAAATAAGGCCATATAAAATCGTAACGGTGGGGCGGGCGGGGGGGGGGAGGTTTTTTGGGGCGGGGTGTGCCTCTTGGCTGGGGCCTACCGGCTGGGGTTCGTTCCCTGACCCTCGAGCCGAATTGATCACCAGGACACCCCCCGGGATGCGAGGAGCGGCAGGCTGGGCTAAAGCGTTAACCGTAGGTGGTCGCTTGTCTTGACTCTTAATAAGTATCCACTTGGGCCACCATTTTGGCTCAAGTGGACCTTTTGACATTTGGTCTTGTGATTTGAAATAGTTATACTGGCAGCGCTGGGCCATGGCTGATGTGCCAAATCGAAGGTACGCCAACCCCAGGCCAGACCTGAGGCCAGTGCGTGCCCAAATGGAAGCGGTTTGGGAGCATTTCTTCATGCTATGGACCATCCGAGCTGGCGTGACATGCAGGAGCGAGTACGAGACTCGTACGGCGCTCCGGCTGGACAGCTGCCAGTTCATGTGGACGGGCGTTAGCATGCTGTCCATGGCGAGAAGCCACCAGTGGAACTACGAGGCATCAGATCGTACATCCCTGCTCCAGGATGCAATACTTCAGCAGGTGCCAAAAAGATCCCGATTTTCCATTTCCGTCCTGCTGGGTATCTTTTGCAGCTTTTCAGCTGCGCAGGTGGTTCAGGATAACTTAAGCGACGTCCTCAAGGCAAGGACGCTGCGGGGCGCGGCAGAAGTGCTGGTGGCCAAGTCGGAGGCGCCAAGCGCGTTGTTCCCGAGCTTCAGCATTTGGGGGCGGGTGAAGCAGCACATTTTGCAGAAAAAGAACGTGGAGGAAGCCAAAGACTGGCTGCGCGAACAGAACTTCTTCGTTTCAGCGTATGCTGGACAACTACCCCTGCGAGACCAGGCCGGATGCACACGCAACAAGCGAGATGTGCTGAAGGAGTTTCTGGCGAAGGGTCTGCAAAGTGTCGGCGCCCTGTGCGCCAAGAACATCTTTCGCATCTACACCCGTGCCCGCGTCCCCAAGGTGCTCCTCAAAGAGGACTCCCAGTGGTCCCTGACTGGGCCTGGGGCCCGCAAGTTCTTGAACCTGGCTGCGGGGCGAGAAGCTAGCTTGAACACGGACACGTGCTCCACAGCGGCTTTCGAGCTATACAGCCGCGAGCTGCGCCTGGCCTGGCTGTCCTACCGGAGGGCGGGCACCCGATTGATCAAGCGCTATGGGGCAGAGACACTGGAGGGTCTGGCGCTGGCGAAGCACCTGAGCGACATGTCCACGACAGATGCCTTTCAGTTTCAGTGCTGCGAGTCCATCAAAGCACTGCAAACGTTCGAGCCTGCGCCGCCCGGGTTTCACTTTCCGGGGTGGATGTGGGCCTCCAACGTCCGGCTTCGCGAAAAGACCCCGGACCCGTCCAAGAAGCGATCTGCCGCATGCATTGAGTGAAAGAGAGACCCGGGATGAGGACTTGGGGCCCCCCGGGGCCTTTTCCCGGGTCTCTCTTTTGAAGTGCGTGCAAGGCGCCGGATCACACGTTTCTTGCCTTTGACGGAGGAGGTGTTGGAGGCCAGCTCCTGAAGAACCTGGACTTGGACCTCTTCCGTGAGAAGCTATTGGACAAGCTGGGTGCGGACTGGGGGAGACCCACACCGGAGCTCCCCCAGGCCCAGACCACTGCGGAGGCGGCGAAAGCGAAACACCAAGCCAGACAGGCGAAGGGCTCCCTCGAAACCAGGCTGCTCGCGCCCATAGCGCCTCCCTTCAGTGCTTGGCCTAGTCAGGTCCGTGTCGCCATTGAAACTGGGGTCTTCGAGCCGACAACGGCATGGAGGGACTTCAGCATGGACGACCTCACATCCCTCACGGACTCCTACCTTGAGGCCAAGGCGGTCATCTCGCTGGGTAGGAATCCCTTCCCGGCGGCCCTCCTGGCAGATCTGCCGGACCTGGAAGGGGTCCCCATGCCAAAGGCGGGGGGCTCTGGTGCGGCGTGCCCAGGTGCCGAGGGCCCTGACAGGCCGCCCACCATCTCCTCAGCCTCGGGCTCTGGCGGGACGAGCTCAGGTGCCGAGGGCCCTGACAAGCCGTCCGCCACCCCGGTGGGCCTGGACCCCTCCGCCCCTGGGTGCCGGACAGGTGCCGATGGCCCTGACATCCGCCCCAGGGGAGGTGAGGGCGATGAGGGGATCGTTTACCCCCCCATCACGGCGGACAACGTCCACGGCGTGGTGGGTAAGGACTACCGGAAGAAGAACTATCCGGTGGAGACGAAGCATGTCTTCTGGGCGCACATGGAGTGTGGCCTGGTCCTGAGCTCCGTCACCCCGTGGGAACTCATCCCGAAGACAAAAGGGGAGACCCGGGGGGGCTACATGTGCAAGTATTGTAAGGGGTACTGGCGTGCCGGGGGAGGGGGCACCCGCCTCCTCCAGATCCGGGCCGGCAAGGCCATCTTGCAGCTGGTGTTGGACGAGCCGCCGGAGGGCCTCTACAACCGCTGGGTGAAGGAGCGGCTGGAGTACTACCGCCGGGTGGAGCCCTCGGCCCCGTTGCGGGACGTCTCCATCGTGGACCAGAAGGTGCCCAGGTTCAGATTCAGCCAGACCACCCAGACAGGCCACGTCTCCAATGCCATCTGGGAGCTGATTCTGCGGAATCCGGAGGCGGCTCGATGACATCGCGAAGGGGGCCGCGTGATGATGCGGGACAACGCCATCTTCCGGCACATCGTCCAGGACCGCGACCAGCCGGAACGGATGCGCAGCGCACCCCGGGGGTGGGACAGCTGCCGAAGGCGCTGATATCCCCCCCCAGGGAACAGAGCAGGCCCAGACTTGCACCAGGCGAGAGAAATTGGCGCGGCTTGGGCTGATCCGGGGTGCGTCTTGGTTCCCCTCTCTTGTCTGGTTTTCCCTTTTCGGGGCGGCTCCCTGGGTCCCCCCCCTTTTTTCCCCCGTTCCCTCCGTTTCGGGGTTGGCTTTCCGGGGTTTTGGGGGGCCCCCCTGTTGTTTGATTGGGGTTTGCACCTAGGGACTAACCCCCCGGCTCGAGTGGATCATGATGATGTGGAGGCCCCGCCTCCCTTCCCCGTTTGGGACGACCTTCCTCGGGGCGCCTACCGCGCTCCAGTTGATTTTGCATGACCTGGGATTTGCACCAGTGCAGTCGGACGGGGAAATCCTCGTGGCGTGCTGCCTGGAATGGGTCAAGAAGGACAAGGTCGCCAACCCGGCTGCGGTGGTCTTTGACCCGCGGCCGTGGACACGGATCGTGGGGCTGGCACCTGACGGCAACCACGTCCTGGTGGCCTCGGACACCTACCACTTGATCCTCACGAGGATGCTGGGCTCCCAACCACAACCGCTGGAGGAGGCGGATTTGGAGCTCACTACTAAGACCCTGCAACAACTTCTGTTTCGTGCGGCAGGCGCCAGGCAATCGCACACCTATTCTCCACTGGAAATGGAACAGGCCATCCGGGACCGTGAAGAGTGGATCCTTTCCGGATCGATTGAGGCCCCGGATGTCCTGGCAGTGGCCAACAAGTGGCGGCATTGGAAACCAGGGAAGATCAAAACCCAATTGCCGACATCTCAGAGAGCGTTGGAACAACACCTGAGGGCCAGGTGGTTGGAACGCCTCCTGGGATACTTCGTCCCCTTCCGGCACCAGATCCCCTACATGCACCAGGTGATGGGGGCCAGGGAGCTGGAGGAGTTTGGCCACCTCTTTGGTGATGCCCGATTCCGTACCATCCGGGCACACTGCTTGGCCTATGAGGGCATGCGCAAGATCGGCTTCCAGAACCTCCCCTGGACGGCTGGCGACGTCCGGTACCTCATGAACCAGGCGGTCACGTTGGAGGTCACTCCGGCGAAGCTCCAGAAGTGGTGGGGCACTTTGAAGTGGCTCTCCATTAAACTCGGCATGCTCAACGTTGACGAACACAAACAACTCCTGGAGAAGCGGAAAGCCATCCAGGAGACGCTGGTGGACACCCAGGTCAAGCCACAACGCAAGGCGGTGGTTCCGACCCGGGCAATTGTCTGGGCCCTGGAACAAGGGGCAGAAGGGGCCCCGCCGGAGAACCGGGTCCCGGAGCTGACCAAAGCAGTGGACAGGTACATCATGGCGATGGCCAGGTTCAACCTGGCCTGCAGTGCGCGCTTCAACGACGTGCAGCACACCTCGCCGCAGACGGTCAAGTCCACGAGCAACACCCTGGAGCTGCTGGCCTGGCAAACGAAGACCACGTCGGCAGTGGCCATCAAACGGAACCCGGTCCCGCTCATCGCCCCATTGTTCTCCTTCTCGGGGGCCAGATGGTGGATCCCCTTGGAGCGGTGGTGGAAGAGATTCAGGGCCTCGGAGGAGTTCCGCGAGATGGACTACCTGATCCCCACGATCAACAAGGACAGGACGGGCTTCATCCCCCGCCCAGGAACCCCAGACAGGTCCCTGAGGTGGCTTAAAGACGCCTTGGGGAAGCAAGGCGCGCCAGCCAAGGACGTGGCTGAACTCTCATGGTACTCCTTCCGGGTTTTCATGCCGGATTTGGCATTCCAGGCGCACATACCGAGGGACCAGCGCCAGTACCTGGGAAACTGGTTCAAGGAGTCCACGGCGGATGTCTACACCCGGGAGAAGCGACACGTGGTGTGCTCCATCTGGGACCAGGTCCTCCAGAAGCTCCCGTCCATGCAACTCGAGGCAGGGAGGGCGGTCCGAGTCGACCTCGGACATGAGGACTGGGAGGACAAGGTGGAGCCCCCGGCCTCACCGAAGGCCTTGTTCAAGGAAGTCCCGGACACACCGCCCTCGAAGGCCAGCTGGGATGTCATCCCTGCCGACAAGCCGACCATCACCAAGACGGCGGCGGATGAGGTGCCCCCGCCTCGGGGTCCACTGACGGTGGTAGCCACCACGGCCCGAAAGGGTCCCACCAAAGCTTACAGCATGCACCTACTGGACACAGAAGGGGTCACAGTGGGGTGCGGTTGGAGGCCGGGACCGATCAAGATTTCGGAGCTGGCGGAGCAGGACTTCCATGCTGAGCCGGAGGTGTACCTGGGATGCACCAGATGTTTCCGGCATTTCACCTTCCCGAACACGTGGATGGCCGTAGAGCCCTACGTAGCACAGGACTCCGAGGCCTCCATCTCCCTCTCCTCGGACACCGACGAGAGCGTGGACACTCAGTCGGACAAGGAGGCGGTCGTCCTCCCGGAAATTGAGTAAGGGGTGGACAGCGCAGGTGCCGAGGGCCCTGACACGCTTCCCCCCCATGCCTCAAGGCAAGGAGGCAGGGGGAGAGGGCGCAGGTGCCGAGGGCCCTGGTACGCCCTCCCCGGCACCCCCCCACAGGCCCAGCCCCGCGGCCAGCGGGGAGCGCAGGTGCCGAAGGCCCTGACACGCAACCCTGAAGGGGCCTGGAGGGGGAGACACAGGTGCCGAGGGCCCTGAGATGTTCTCACCCCTATCCCAGGGGGCCAGTGCCCCGGGAAACCAGGGGACACAGGTGCCGAGGGCCCTGAGATGTCCCCGGGCAGCCCAGGCGGCGGATTGACGGGGTCCGCACCGGGTGGACCGCAGCCGGACCGCTAGACGCACAGATGCCGAGGGCCCTGGAATGCGACAACGGGACCACACGGCATACGTGGAGGGAGGACCTCCCCAACGACCAGCTCGTCCGTTGGTATTGGCAGCTGATGCGATCCGTCCGTTGGGGATGGCATCAATTCTACTCCCATCAGCTGCTGAGGGGAGCTGCCCAGTGGAGCTGGGCAATCCTCCCATTTTGGCACAAACCCTTATTCGGCGAAAAGGATGCACCGTTCGCGATTAAGGTACCAGTAGCACCAATGTGGTGCTTTGAAGAGTCTGGGCTAAAGCGTTAACCGTAGGTGGTCGCTTGTCTTGACTCTTAATAAGTATCCACTTGGGCCACCATTTTGGCTCAAGTGGACCTTTTGACATTTGGTCTTGTGATTTGAAATCCCGCCCACCCACACCATGGCAGCGCCACCAGATGAGTTGGTGGCACCGCCACGGTCGCAGTGGCTAAGCTCCACAAGACTGCCAGGAACCTCATGGTCCTCAAGGGCATCCCGTGGTTCATCCAAGCGACACTGTCGGATGAGGGCTTCGTCTCGATGGAGGACCTCGCGACCCGGTGGGACTCGCCCGACCGTGCAAGGGAGACGGCGCCGAGGGAGTTGGGCTTCGCCCCCAACAACCACCACTACACGGATGTGACCTCCCGGCTGGTCGCGGCCCGCATGTTCCAGGTGGTTCACGCGGCTCAGCGATCCATGGGAGTTGGGGCGCATGCAACAGCGGGACCCGGGCCACACACGCCCGGGGACACCGCCCCGAATCTCACGGTTTCGTGCGAACGGGGACAGCTGGAGAGGGTTTGGGAGGAGAAGACCAAGCTCACCAAACCCAAGCTGGCCCTTCAAGGAAGCGACCAGCTGGTGAAGCGCCAGTTCAAGCTCTGCGCAGGAGGCGAGATCGGTTTCATCCCCATGAAATACCTGGTAAGCGCACTCCCGGAGCCAGGAGAACGGCCATGGAAGACCACCAAGAAGAGCACGGTGGATGGCTGGGACCGGGAGGATGAGGTGGAAGAGCGGGGCGAGCCCAAAACTCGCCACCAGCTCGAGAGGATGCACGCGGTGTTCCGCAACACCCTCCTCATGTGCGTCCTCTCGTTCCCGCAGTTCGGCCAGTTCGACATCACCCGGGAGGACTTGGAGAGCTGGTACGAGTGGTTCTATGGTGAGGACATCGGGGGCCGTTTTCCCCCGCCAGAGGACCACGTCCTGGCAATTGCCGAACGCAACGCATGGCGAAAGATTCACGAGAAGATGCATGAGGGCAACACCCTCAAGGCGGCCATGCTGTCGGTCAGGCAGGACACATTGTTCTGGACACGTGAGGTCTACGAGAAGATCAAGCCCTTTTCCAGGGGCCGCCCACCAACCAGGACATCCATGGACTACGCACCACCTCAGAAGGGCAAGAACAAGTCCAAGGGCAAGGGGAAGCCCAAGGGCAAGCCTGGGAACAAAGGGAAGGGTAAGCCCCCCCACCTGAACAATCAGGCGTCCCGGGGCGGTAACAAGCAGGCAGCCACCGACCCGAAAGGGAACCAGTTCTGTAACAACTGGATGCGCGGGCGCTGCCCGGGCAACTGCGGCCGCACCCACAAGTGCAACCTCATCCTGGCAATGGGCCGCATCTGCCTGGGGGACCACCTCCCGCAGGACTGCCCGGGTTGACTAGGGGCGCTGACCCCTACCCCCCGGGAGGCCTCAGGTGCCGAGGGCCCTGATAGGGGGGGGGCGAGAAGGGGCAAACGCCCCAAGCAGGCACAGAAGCCCCCTCCTGCAGGTGCCGAGGGCCCTGACACAGGGGGGGGACAGGCCAGGTGGCGGCCATCCTCGGCGGAACAAGGATGGGGACGGCAGAACCAGCGTGCACAACGCCCTCGCCGTGATCAGAACAGCCACACAACCGGCACAACGGCGGCGCCTCAGTCCCGAGCCACAGGTGCCGAGGGCCCTGATATGGCGGGGACGGGACGGTTCCCCGCAGGTGCCGAGGGCCCTGACACGGGGGGCCGCACCCAGAAGGCCCGAGTGCCGGATGTCTGGCAGCACACCGCAACGCCAAGGGACACTCCCAGGAGGCAGCCGATCCCACTTCCGGCGCCCAACATCATCAAGCAGGCCCGGTGGTTTTCCACAAGAGCTCGGTGGGGCTGAATGAAGGGGGCCAACGCCTTTCAGCTACCCCCCTGACAAGTCCGACGGAGCCGTCACCGGGATTGGACATCTTCCCGTGGATGGAGAACATCCCTGAGCGTCTGGTACAGCGGTGAGATGGACACAGGGCACATCGCCCAAAGTTCCATCCAGTGGGCCCATCATTGTCCTGCTCTATGCAGGCAAGGAAGACCCAACTTCCTTGGACAGCTGTCTTCATGCCAACTACCCACACCTTTCCAGCATGGTGGTGGCGGTAGACATCCTACGGTCTGGACCCAAGGGGGACCACGACATGCTCCAACCCGAGCTGTATGGAGCTCTTTGCACGGCAGCAAAGCAGGGCCGAGTGGTCTTCATTGGAGGAGGACCCAACTGCAGGACATGGTCCATCCTGCGCCACATACCAAAACCGGGGCTCCCACCCCGGTGCGAGGGCGCACTCCAGAGACACTTTGGGGCCTTCCACACCTGGACCAGGCCGCCCAGACTCAACTTGATGATGACAGCATCCTCATTCTGAGACAGATGTACATCACCAGCCTGGCAAGGGCCTCACGAGCGGCGGTTTCTCTGCCAGGGCCCAGGTCCTTCCTGGAACACCCGGAGGACCCAGTGGTGAGCAGCTCGCTGCCCAAAGCCAAGGAATGCTCATCCTTCTGGATCACAGAGGAGGGGCAGCTTTGGATGGAGGAGAACTCCTTGACAGCAATCTCCTTCGACCAGTGCCGCCTGGGCCAGCTGGTCAAGAAGGCCACTACGCTGGCCACGGATCTCCCGATCCAGGACTGGGATCAAATGCGGTGCACGCATCAGTCACATGTGGGCACCAACGAGTCCTCGACTCTTAGCAGATACCCTTGGGATATGATGGCAGGCCTGGCCAAAGCCATCGCTGTGTCACTCGCAGCGCCGGGGCACATCCGGATCCCCTCACAATTTCCGGGAAACCCCAAGGAACCACCTAAGGGGCGGGGGTCGGACCCCCCGGAAGGCCATTCCCCCCGGGGAAAACGGGGGCCCAGTCAAGGAGGCGGTCCCTCCTCATCACACCAGGGCTCAAAGCCCGGAGGCAAGAACGCCCCGAAGCCCCGCCTGCACGGGCAGTTCCACCCTGAAGCAGACACCGTAAGCCCTCGTGGAACAATGAACCCAGACTTCCCATCTCCCATGCCCCCGATGGCCGGAGATGCGGAACAACTGGGGAAGGAGGGACAGGGGGACCAGGTCCTGGACCGCCCCGAATGCCTGCCCGCTTTCAGGGTCCCACACCTCACTGACCGGGTGGCGATTGTCCAATTGGGTTTCCGCTCACGCCCCCTGAGGGATGGGGGGGGAAAACCTTCCCCAGGGAGGCTCAACCCCCCTTTTCGGAGAATTTCCCCATTGGCTACTTTGGGCGCCCTGATCATGACCCTTACCCGTCCCTGGATTGACAAGGTCCGAATGTCCCTGGCATCAGGTGCCACCACACACCCCTTCCAGGAAGCCGACCTCGAGGAGCTGCGGGCTATCCTAGGACCGAGGCACCTCCATGAACGATGCCCAGGACAACCCTTCCTCCTGGACTTAGTGTCGCACTTGGCATCCCTTTCAGGTGACCCTGATTGGGAGTTCCCCCTAACACTGAAAGAGGGGGTCCCCTTGGGAGTCTCGGACCCTACCTTGACCTCCCCGGGAGTTTGGCCCACTAAGGAGGAGCTTAAGGGAGAAGCCTGGCTGGGGGAAGATCCCCCCCCGCCAGTGGCTCATGATAACTACCCAACGGCTGAACTCTTTGCCAAGGAAATCGAATCAACCTTTTACGAGGAACGAGCCTTGGACATGGTGGACGGGCCCTTCACTCGCTCTGAGGCGGCAGAGAGGTGCCGCTGCAAACCGGAGGAACTTTGCCCGGGCCCCCTTGCAGGGATTGATGAGTCGGACAAGATCAGGACGATCTATGATGGCTCAAAAGGGGGAGCAAACGCACACATCCAGGCTCACACGGAGGAGAAGACCACCGCACCGATGGTTGGAGACTGCCTCCATGCCATCCACTGGCTCAGGACAGCGGCGGACCATCCTCATCTACTCCGAGCCCCATCCTCGGGCACTGATGAGGAACCTAGGGATGTTCGCCAGCCGGTGCAGGGGCAGTTCCCAGGTGCCGAGGGCCCTGAGAGGGACCCCCACAGCACCAGCCTGCCCCCAGGTGCCGAGGGCCCTGATAGGGGGGAACCCCTGACGTGGCAGCCGCCGACACGGGGGGAAACCTTCATCATCCTCAAGGCGGATGTCACCAAGGCCCACAGGCGCATAAAAGTGCTCCAGAAAGACTGGAAATACCAGGTGGCCTGCATCCAGAACCGGTGGTGGGTCAATAGAGTGGGCACGTACGGCATGGCCTCGGCACAACTGTACTGGGGAAGAAAGGCATCCTTGGTGCTCAGACTCTTGTACTACATCTTCCCTCAGGTGGACTGGCACTTAGTTTTTGTGGACGACTACTGCTGGGTCCTCAGATGCAGCAGGGCGGACTGGGACGCCACAGCCATCCTGGCCACTCTTCTGGCGCTGGGAGTCCCGCTTTCTTGGAAGAAGACGGCGCTCTCCCCGGTCAATACCTGGTTGGGATTCGTGGTGGACCCAATCACGCCCTGTGTGCTGCTGGCTCCAGTCAAGCACGTCATAATCCTGGCCACTCTCAAACGGCTGGCCCAGGGGGACATCTTTACCAGCAAGGAGGTGGAACAAGCCCTGGGCCGGATTCAATGGGCTACTTCGGCGTGTCCATTGACGAAACCTTTCCTCCAGCCCTTTTGGAGCTGGAAGAAGGCCTGCACCACTTCGGGCAGGCCACCGAAGCTGGTTCGTGCTCTGGCCATCCTTCTGGGGAAGCTCTTCAACCAGAGGTTCCCACTGGCATCTCCATTTGCTCCCACACTTCCATGGACGGGGGCATCTGATGCGGGAGCTGGCAAACAGGCGGACCATGCATGGGTTGGTGGTTGGTGCTCGGACGTGCCCAACCCCGACAAGTCCCGAGTGAAGTGGTTCCAACACAGAATCACACCGGAGGGCGAGCCGTGGGCCTTCGCTACTGGGGACCCGCAGCGAGCGATAGCGGCCTTGGAGCTCTTCGGCCTCCTCCTTCTGGTGAGGGCTGCTCTGCTTTGTGCAGCCGGCTCGGTTCTCACACTAGGATTCTGGTTGCTAGTGATAACCAGGGAAACGTTTTCTCCCTGCTCAACGATTCCACTCGCAGGATGCCCAATGCGGCCATCCTCATGGAAATTGTGTTAACACTGCATGACCACCAGGTCATGTTGGGACCGTCGCATGTGAAGCGCGACTTTAACACGTGGGCGGATGAACTTACTCATCCGGACCCGCAATTTCCGACTGAGAACCGGGTCTTCCCCTCAGTCGAAAGCGAATTGATCAAGCTGATCTTCGCTACTTTCCTTCCTCACCCATGATGCCGGGAGGGCATCCGGTGAGGTGGGAGGATTCCTCCCTCGCTGTGGGAGTGGCATCAATTCTACTCCCATCAGCTGCTGAGGGGAGCTGCCCAGTGGAGCTGGGCAATCCTCCCATTTTGGCACAAACCCTTATTCGGCGAAAAGGATGCACCGTTCGCGATTAAGGTACCAGTAGCACCAATGTGGTGCTTTGAAGAGTCACGGGAAAAAAAAAACTTTGTATGCCTCTGTGACCTGATTTTCGGATGTGGAACATCGACACTTTACGTGGCCATGTATGATAGATGCCCTTTCAAACCAACAGGGGGAAATAAATCATTACATTGTGTTGCTACAATGTGTATTTGTTGCTGATTCTGATTTTGAGGATAATTATAAGCAGCGTGTGTTGAGCAAATTCAAAGTTAATCTCCTTTTTGAGGTGTGATGTTCAAGATGATATTTAGGGCGCCCTGTCCTTGGGTTTCGCAAAAATGGTTTTTGTTTGACACCAACCCAACAAGGGCACGGTCTAAAAAACGCACCCATAACTTACCCATAACGTGTTGAGTTTCTTTAAGTTCCCGAGCTTGCGATCTACGTACTCCCGCCAACAAGCAGTATTCTACGTTCCACCTTCAGGGGGTTGTCAGGTTGTCAAGCAGGCGGACATGTTTTCCTTTGTTTTGCTGTTGCGGCATTGGCAGCGGGTGGCTATGCTCACAAACAGGATATATGGGCGCTTGATGCAGACACTGGAAGGTGAATCCAACCTGCTACACATCTAGAATTGGAGCAGTACGCGTTCCAAGGGCCAACAGGGTTTGTCATGCGACCGGGAGACCCGCGGGACATCCAAAAGTTGCGCTGGAAAATGAGCCAATAGATCTGCGCCCCAGACTTTTCAAGGTCCAGGGGGTCAGTAGCTGGAGGGGGCTGAAGCCGTAGCAGGCTGTGTACCTTTTCGTGAGGGACATCAAGACAATCGAAGCAACCACAAAATGGCGCGGTCCTCCAATTTCGGTCTGTGTGTGTTTGTATTTTCGGTCTGAGTATCCTGTTTGAGGGTTCCCCGGAAAACCAAAAGGAAAGCAGACATTTGAGGGGGTTCCTGTTGAGACAAAGACTTATGCGCGCAGCCTGGCAGCTCGGGTTTCCTTGAACATACTGCTCGGAGTTCTCAGATTTGGGCTTAGGCGTTTGGGGTTTGTCTCAAAGGGGACCTCCAAAATGGCCACGGTTTCCTTTTGGCTTCCTTTTCTTCTAGGTCCCCCAGTAGTGCCCTTTTACCGTTTCTTTTTTTGGGGAGGGTTCCCCTACTAAAGTAGACTACAGAAAAAAGGGTACCCTTGTTCTAACCTCGCTACTGGAGGACCTAGTCTTACTTCCTTGGACTGTACACGTTTGCGAAAGACCATTTCCGGTGCCAACAAAGTTCAGACTGTGGCTGTCAGGAAGTGAGTAAGCCCAGCTTCATTTTGGGGTTCCCCTTAAAACGGCAACCATTTTACCACATTCCCAAGACGTGTCCAACGCCTCGATGCTTCTCTCTCGCGCAGGCTCCAGGAGGCCGCTGGGCCGACGGGCCGTGGAGTCGCCAGTTGTCGCTCGTTGATTTTGGCTGGAAGAGCGTAACTTGACGATCCCTGAACTGGTGGTTTGGATGGGTCTTGGGTTGAACCCCAGCTCCTTGGATTCTGCGACGAGACTTGAGTTCCTGTTGAAGCACGGAGAAGTAAAACAAACCACCAGCACCACCAAAACCAAGGCCGATCCTTTTGAATCCCCCGAGGCCCCTCCCCGCCAAAACCAAAGCCATCAGCTGAGAAGGTGATGCCAACCCATGGCAGCCTCCAAGCCCAAAGTCTCTCCGAGGGGTTGAAACGCCTTCAAGCCACAGATCAGACCTTGGCCCGGGGGATCCTTACTGGGTGGTAAGGTCCCTGGGCTCTTTCATTGAAGCACCTCGCTTGGCTTGCCGAAAGCGAAAGCGAAGTGAGATCTGACCCGTTCTGGTTTTGGTAGGGTCGATCTTCGGTACATGGCTTCCTTTGGCTGTGTCGAAGTGCTCTCTTTGGGCCCAGAGTTTGTCCACGATCGAATGGGAGCAGCCAGAAGTGCCGACTGGGATGCGAGCAACGGGCAGCTTCCAGATGGCCCATGAGGGGCGCGGAGCTTCTTGCTGCACTTCGGCTGGCCTCCAAGACTCCGGGCGCTGTATGCCAGGTCTTCAACACCATGATGCTTGCTCTTGGGGCTGACCCCAGTTATACCTCACCCATGTGGAAGTCAAAAGGTTTTTTTTGGGAGGATGATAACGTGTTTTGTGTGGACCTGCAAGCTTATTTTATGATGTAGACGATCTTTTTTCTTTGGCCAGAAACGGTGTTTCTTCTCGCTGCATTGATGTGCAATGCAAGAGTGGTCCACTTGAGTCTCTGTCTTTTGAGGCTACCCTTTTCACCTTTCTTGAAAGGAACTTCCCAAAGGAAAACCACGGTTTTGAGGCTACCCACTTGGGGTGCAGGGCGCCTTGCCGAGGATAGAAAGCGGACACGCGCCGAAACTGCAGCATTTCGCCCTGGGCCTGCGAGCGTGCGGGGCCTGCGCGGCGTGGCGAGATGCCATCGGCGTGTTGCAGATGACGGGAACGGCGCGGCTGGCGCCGGACAACCAGCTATTCCACGGCTTGGTGATGGCATCTCAGATGTTCGGCATCACTGTTCTCGGCGTGTTGTTTGGTTGTTTATGTGTGGTGGGTGTCTAATCTAAAGAACATGTTTGTTGCTCACATGTTAAGGATTGAACGATAGGGATTCCGTTTGACTTGTGTGTTTGCATTGTCAGCTTCACACAAATGTGTCTTTTCTCGAGATTGAGGACCCGGGTGTTTGGCTTTCTTTGGGGTTTCCCCCTGAACAACGTGGTAAAAGGGGCCATGTTTCCAAAAATGTAATACGCTCACCCATTTTGGACCGTAGTCGAAAAACGTGTCCTTTGGTTGGGGGCAGCCGCGGCAGTTCAGGTCTTCGGGCTTGTTGTTGGTTCAGCCGCGTTGCATTGTTGAGTGGGGCACCAGTGCTACGTCTTTTTCAAGGAAGTCTTGCAAAGTTGGTGGAACATCCAAGTGTTTACACCCGGAACTGAAAAAGGAAGCAGAGCAAAGGTTGACTAGGTGGTGACCGTGACTTTTCGGGGTGGGTTGCAACTCTGGTTCTTGCAGAGGGTACAATGCCTTGTTTCTCCTGGCTGTGCCTTTTCTCTGAGGGTAGACTACTTGGGGTTGCTTTGATTGAGGGGAAGTCAAAGGGACATCACGATTTTGAAGGTTCCACTCGATTTGAAGATGAACACATTCCCAAGATTCAACCACTCGGACTGTCAAGCAACTAGGCCAGGCGGTTCTAGTACTTGAAGCCAGATTTTGAGCCTGCTTTCTTAGTAGATGGACAGGGCTCCTGAAAAGATACATTTTGCCCATTTGAAACATGGCTTTTTCCACCAAAAATAAAGGGACACCACCATTTAACAAGGCAATGTTCAGGTGTATAATGTAAGGATCCCTGACGGAGTTCAAGCGGCAACTGAGGTGTCCAAACAAGCTGGGAAGTGGCAAGTCGCTGTTCAGCTGCTTGAAGACATGCACATCGCCCAGCAGACACCAGATGCTTGCTGAGTAACACGGTCATTTCATGGCTGGTCTCAAGGGTGACCCCGAATCGCCGCTTAGACCTTTTCTGGGGTAGACTTAGGATACATTGTACATTTTACCAGTGACTCAAAGGCAAGCAAACAATAGAATATACATTTTATAACTGGGAGTAAGTCTAGTCATGTTTTGGAAAGACATTGTGCTTGTCCATTCCTACAAAAGGTCCAGCGGCACTTTGCTCAAGGGGCTTGGAGCCAGCCTGATTTGTACCGTCGCTGACCTGGGTCCTGTGTAGTGATCTACTTTGTTCGAGGTGAATTATAGGATCCAATATTTGGGTTTGCCTCTAAAAATAGGGGAACTCCTGAACGGGTGGTGTCCCACCTTCAAAACCAACCCCTATACTTGGTAATCATTTGTCGGGTATCTCGATTTGAGAAGATTAGAGGCTGGCCTGGGTCATTTCAAGAACGTTGATGTGCAATTTGTGGTTTCAGGGAGGAGCTTTCCATGGCTCAAGAGTCTTGGGCGTCAAATCCCCAAGCCACCAATGGACCAAAGCAAAACAGCAACTGAGGGCAACTTGACTTTTTTCAATTAGGTGGATTTGCCGGCTTGCAAGCCTTTGGTGCATTTTGCTTGGAGGACGTTTGCTTTTTGCCAACCAATGGGTTTTCCATTAAACCACTAAAAGAAAAAACATTTAGCAGGGGAGCAGAAAGCAACTGAGAAGCTATGAAGCCGAGGACGTGGTCAGCTACAATGCGACCATGAGTTCCTGTGAGAGAGGCTCGCATTGGCACGCGGCCATTGGACTTTTTGAGTCCATGCAGGAAGCTAAGCCAGGAGCTGAGCAAACTTTGTCTCCGTTTCGCCCGTACTTCTAGTGGCATGGGTGCCGCTTGGTGGCTCCCGGCCATCCGGTTCCTTAGCTTTTTAGCCTTTTAGTGTTTAGTGGTAGTTTCCTTTTAGCCCACTAACAGTTTAACTTTTAGTGGGGGATCTGAGGGCAGCCCAGGTGCCCTTTTTCAGGCTTATTACAAATGGAAACCAAAGGGAACCCACCCATTCGCGCATGCGTGGGGTCAACGCCTTTGTTGCTTAGAAGTGTTTGCTGACCTTGTAAAAAAGGGGCTGTCCAGTTGTCAACGTTAGCTGTCCTCTACAGTAGTCCAGGGGTTGACAGTGGGTGCTCACCAACTTACCAGACCCTGTCGGTCTAGGATTAGGAAATGTGGATTACTCACCAAAATTCAATGTCACGTGGGCCCCGGGGCTTGAGTTCCTTCGGATGGGGTTACCTTTGAAACCAACCAATCAGTACATAAAGTGTTTTGCTTAGTTCTTTTTCCACAAGTAAAAACCACCATGCATCTGAGCTGTTCGTAGGTTTGGTCTGAGCCAGGGTTGATACAAGACAATCAACCGGCAGCTAGCAACGTACCCACCCAACGCCCGATGATCTGCTATATCATAGTCAACTCTCTGTAACATTCCCTTGTCGTTGATTTCTTGGAATTGACCATGAGTTGATAAAAGGCAATAGCATGCGACACATATTCCTGATTCCAGCTTCACTGAGGGAACACAACGAATTATTAGCTTGGCTCACAAGTGTTGAATTGTGCAAGTGTATGGCGGTGCAGTGTTGTAGGTCACCCCCTTTTTGTTGACTGCATTTCCCCCCCCGGTAAGAAGCCTCCATGAATCATAGAGGAGGTTCTCTCTTCTCCCTCGGAGCGGAGCTTCCCACAAATCCCCATGGCGAACTGTTGAGGCGCCACTCCATTTCAAAATTGGGGATCCAAGAATGGTATCTCTCTTTCAAACCATTCAAAAGGGTGCTTCATAATTTTAATCCCAACAAAGGGTCCCCAAAAGTCCCGTTGCTTTCCCCCCAGAAACGTCAAAATAAGTTGGTCCCCCGAATCCGGGTTCCTCACTCGGTTGGTCTCCACCGGCCGGGCCAGGAAGCAGAGGTCACTCCATCCAGGGTTAGCCACAACGCGACATGGCGCAGTGGCAATCTTTTTGGTTTGGAAGGGTTTCCCTTGGAAGATCTTGGAAGCCCTCTTTTCCATCTTGGTTGGGGCTCGTCGAAAGCATGGTGTTGAGCCTCACGAACTCTTTCATGGGTGTGCGTCAAAGTAGGGAAACCTCCAAAAAGGTTTCTATTTAGTTTCCTTTGAAACTGTCCAAACAAGGCTACCTTCAGAAAAAGACACACCCATTCTGGCTATTCATTCTTATCCACCCTGCAAAAACCGGACCATAGACCTCCAACGTAAAAAACAACATTTAGTTGGCACTAGCTGAAATGAATTTACACTGGCAACACTTCAGGTGAAAAGTCGACGCCGAAATAGGTACGGGAAAGCTGCCGAACAACTTTTGCTACCCAAGCTCCAGATTTGTGTGTGTGTGTGTGTCCAAAGGAATTGAACCTCAAACTTGAGCAGTTCAAGAAGCGATCCTCGCTCCGGAGTCGTAGGCGGGCTTTAGTACAGAATCCTTCAAACAAATTTCTCTGGGAGACCTTGGGAGAGGTTGGAAGGCCTCGAATTTGGAGTTACAACCAACCAACAAACAAGGAGCCTTCGGCTCTTATCTTGGATTCCTGGATGGGGTTACCTGTAAAACTTTGGAAGCCCTCTTTTCCTGAATGCGAGGCAAAGGGTTCTCGTTTTAGAAAGGTGTTTGGGTCAGCTTGTGTTCGCGGGATGCGTCTCTGCGTCCGCAAGCGGGCGAAGGCTCAGAATGTGTGATACGTCGGCTGCGCAGTTGTTTGAAAGGCTGCGCGTTGCGTCGTCGTGCCACTGTGATTTGCATCTCAGGCGTGGTCCATTTGAGGTGTCTTTCTTGGCAGGCGCGTGCAAGCGTTTGCGAGAGTGTCATTTTTGCTTGCCCTGCCCGTGCAACCCGTTCGGTTTGCGAAGCTGAACGCTTGACAAAATCGGTCGAAATCACCCTGCGCTGCAGTCCCGCGCTAATTTTTGACCCGCGTCGTAAGCGTGTCTGATTTCGTGGCAGGTGCAGCAGTTTGAGCGCCTCTTGCTGCGTCTGAAGCTCACTTTGCGCAACAGGCGAAGCACTTTGGAGCGCTGTGATCAAGTTTCGTGGCAGGCGGTCGCGCGTTGAACGCAGAGTCGGATCACGAGGCAGCGGTTGCGCGGTGAACGCAGAGTCGGATCACATCTCACCGGAGAAGATGATTTGCGTGGCAGGCGCAGTGCTGTGGAGGGCCGCATGCTGATTTCGTGGCAGGCGTAGCACTTCCGATCATACACTGGGTAAGACAGGTAGATAGAAAAGATTAGACTGAACTAGAATAGAAACGATTAAGTTTCATTACATAGGTAGACAGATCGATGGCTGGGGACAGAGTAGATCAGATTGGAGGCCAAGTGTTAGATTAGATAGAAAGCAACGTTAGACAGGCGGATAGATCGGTAGATAGACAGATAGGCAAATGGATGAGAGAGAAGGGGCTTGCGGAACAAAAATGAATGAAAGGTAGGTCGATGGATGGAGAAAACCGACAGATAGATAAACAGAGGTACAGAGATGGGAGAGACAGGTAGGTGGATAGAAAGATGGATAGAGACAGGCTAGCTGGGCTAGCTCAGACTGGATTAGAGAAGATGGTTCGTTCGGGTCAGATTAGAATAGACCGGACTGGATGGATAGCCGGGTAGGCCGGTAGGCTGGTAGGTAGGTAGATGGACAGATTCGTGGGTAGATGTACAGATGGGTAGATGGACAGATGGATAGACAGATAGATAGTAGACAAAAAACAAGAAACTGGGATAGACACATCAACAGGTCAACCGGCAGGACCATGGAGAGGTGGGACACTCGCACACAACGGTAGCTCGGGTTCGGCCTTTAGCTTTAAACCCAGCTGAAGAAAGAAAGGGCACCCTTTTTCCACCATGCCCACTGGGCTGAGGCGATCATCAGCTGCTGTGAGAAAGGTGGCCAGTGGGTTCGCGCATTGGACTTCTTCCAGCGCATGTCGACGGCACGAATAACTCCAGATGTCGTCAGCTTCAATGCGACCATCAGCTCGTGTCGAAGCTCGGTACACGCGAATTTCATGATGGCATGTTTCCTTTTTGATGTGACCAAATCGCCCCATTTATGACCAATGGCTCAAATTGCGTTTTTCCATCAAACCAACAAAAGACCTTTTGCTTGCTCGGGGCCAAGGGAGCAGCCCTCTAACAAACGGGTTCCCACTGCGTGCAACAAAACACAATGTGTATTTGTGAAGCCATTGCTGAAACCCGTTCAACAAGTTGCCCAACTGTTGACCTTTCAATCAAACCCCCAGTGCGCCTTGCGGTCCTGCTTTGTTTTGAAAAGCAGGGAATTGGGGGTCGAACAAAGTGCCCTTCGAAGAACTAACTAGTCAGAAGGGTCTCATTGGAGTGTTTTCCATGGCCACACCAGTCATTCAATCCAGATACCTGTTGTGTCAATACACATGGTCGGCGCCAGACTTGAGTTGTGAATGAACAAATGTTACAACGGATTTACGCCATATTCCACTTGAGAAATAGCAAGGGATCAACAAACTACTAAGACAACTTATTGATTCGTAAGGGACCTCGTGGTATCGCAGGCTTATACTCAGGGCTCAAAAACCCCTTTGGGCCAGTACCCCTTTCCGGCAAAACTCTCTAAACCAATCTGGAAAGTGGTAATGTGGCTAGGACGACGCTGCAGTTCACCCCCCCCCCACTGCGTTCAAACTTTTGCATCATCGCAGTGAGGACTAGACGGGCAATGGCCCACGGCCGTGTCCCTGCTGGGAGGAATGCCTGGGCAGACGATCTCGCCAGACGTGATCAGCTACAATGCTACAATCAGCTCCTGCGACAGGAAGCTCGGTAGAGTTTGATCCGTTTTTTGTCCAAATTTGGGGAAAGTACTCACAAAATGTCAGGTGTGGTTGCCATTGTTTGACAAGGATCCCTGGGAACAATTGTAAGGGAAGTAGTCGGTGAAGCGAATGGACCTATCTTATATTTTTGTGCTTCAAGCATCACCGATTGCACCTCTTCAATGCAAGTTTTGTTTGTCGGCGGTGACATGCGAATGGCAAATTTGTTCGGAGTGGGTTCGCTTCTATCAAGCGAAAAAAACGGGGTTAGATTTCTGCAGAGCTGCACAAATGAAGCCACCTCGGCTGAGCAGCGCCCAATACCTCCATTGGTTCTACCTGGCTTAGTAGGAATTATATTTGTTCCTACATAACACAAGCTTTACCAAATGGAACGTCCTCCCACAAAGAGAACACCAAAACCAAGACTCCGAAGATCGGCAGGAGTTGCCCTAGGGCCAAGCTTGAACCTTTTGGGCGTCCCTGCCATACGTCACCACAGGTTTTTTGGGGAGAGCTTCAGTGGAGTTCTTCTTTTTCTTGGTGGGTTCATGTGGGTTTCCCAATCATCCTCACCCAAAGGAAGGTGGTGCCTTCCAGGTCACGACTCTGAGGATGTTTGGGTTCCCTGAAAATCCTCACCCAAAGGAAGGTATGTCTTTTATGAGGATGTCACGACTCTGAGGAAAGGGAATTGGCAGCTGGCGCTGGGCTTGTTTGAAGATATGAAAAGAGCCAGACTATCTCCGGACCTGATCACCTTTAATGCGACTCGGCCGATGAGTCCCAAATGAAAGCAAGGCTCCCTTTGCTTTCCATTTGAACCAACTCCCAAAATGATACCCTCATAGAACTGCCATTTTTGCAGGTGGTTCTAGCGCTTGGTTTCATGGGGTCTAGTGTGAGGACCTCAAAAGTTGGTTTGCGAAGGAAGGGTTCTTAATTCCAGTTTTGTTTAGGATTTATAGCTGCTTGCCCTGAAGCAGCCCCAAGTAATGTGTGGACCTGGAGGTTGACTCCAGCTAAGTCTTCAACCATCATTCTCAGCCAAACCAGCCATGTTCGGTTCTTGGGTTTAGTTTTGCTGGGCAAAACCAACTGTTTGCAAACTACTAAACCATCAGGGTGGTTCTCGAACAGATCCTTTTTGGGATGGGGCACCAAATTTGAGCGTTCTTGCTTGAGAAAACAATCCGCCAGAGCCGCGCAACGCCTTTCTTTGGGCCATATGGGAGGGCCATGTGCCAGAGCCATTGGGTGCGCCAACCACCCTTCCGAAGCTTCCCTGGTGAGTTTCATAGCGACATGAAATGTGTTTGCCGCTTTTCGACGGAGAAGCGCGGACGACTTTCTCAGTTCCGGGACCTGACCCTTGTTGGGAAGATCATTTTAGTGGCAAACAACAAGTTCAGACTTGCCGGATCTCGATCTGAAGGGAGCTGGGAGCTGGAAGTTTGAATCTGCGGATTGGCCTTGCTGAAGTTGCTGAATTGGTGGTTTGGGGAATTGAACCCCTGGTTCTGGAGGGTAAATCGCAACAATCCCGCCCGAGAACACCGGGCCAAAAAAAACACCAAGCCAAACCACCAAGTAGAGCGCAGCTGGTGGAGGGAAAATCGGAAAGCAGGGGGGGGGAAAAACGCCCCAGAACAAATCCAAACCATCAAACAGAAGCTGACGCTCTTTGTCGTTTTTTTCTCGAACCAAGGCGCTGCTGAGCTCCTGCGAGCGCGTGGGCCAGTGGCAGCGGTGCTTGAGACTGCTGGAGCTGCAGCGGAGCAGCCGCATCGACCCGGATGTGATGAGCTACAGCGCTGCTGGGCTTCGATGTCCAATATGTTGTAAGGCAGACCATTTTTTTTGAAGCACGCCATGTGAGTCACAATCAAAACCGTTCGGGTAGATGATCCGGTTAGTAAGGGACAATCCCAACCATAAATTGCTGCGGCCGCCTTCTTGGATCGACCATTTTGAAACCGGGTTTTGATTATGACTCATGTGAAAATATCAGTTTTCCCGTTTGCCCCCTTTTTTGAGAAGCTTGCAGGCATATGTCGGGAGCCCGGATTTTTGTTTCGACTTCGCCCTCCGGGCTCCAAAAACAAAACGCCTGAGGCGTGCGTGAGCGCGAGCGAGAAGGCTCAGCACTGGACCTTGGCTCTTCGTTTCTTCGAGGACCTTCAGCGAAACGTCCAGGCGGATGTCATCAGCTACTCCGCGGCGGTGGCGGCGTGGCAAACCGGCGCCTGGAACCTTGATGGCCCCACACCCGTGAACATCCGATTCGATCCAACCACTCAAATAGGTCCTAACATGGGTGGCGAATTCACCGAAAACCCCGAAAAAAATGGGATCCTAAAACGGTTTTGACTGACCCACAGCCACATGAGTCAATTCCAAGTGACGGGATGATGTTGATACCATATTTTCCTCAACTCCAATTTATTCATAGGGGGTTGGGGCCCCTTCCAAAAGTGATGATTCCCCACTAAACCCAGGGACCACAAGAGATGATTTCCTATTAAGGGACACCCCCCATTGATCAACCGGGGTTGATGAATATAGGGTCAACATTGGGGGTGCAAGTGATAGCAGTGATAGGTTTTCAACGGCCGGCAGGGGTATCACAGAATCGCCCCGTGGAGCTTTGGTAAAAAAAAGTTGGGTTTTTCCATCCAGAGGTGATGGACCTGTTGCGCGCTTGAGGCAAGCCACGGGGAAGCCAAGCCACGCAACTGGAGCCCACTGAAAGGGGCCATCCGGGGTTGAGATTTTTTTTTAACGGAGATGCCCATGTGGGGCGTCCAAATCTGGATTTGGACCCCCCCCCAAAAAAAATTGGTGGTTTTCTTATTTGAATCCGATCTGCAAAGGGTTTCCCAAGCAAACAACATCATGTGTGTGGTTCTTGCTGGCTGCATGGGCCTGCAAGATCCTTGCAGGTCACTGACTCGGGGACTCCGAATTCCCCATGTCCAGTTTCCGAGTCAAAGAAATAGAGACGCCAGCGGGGCCTGTTAGTTGCAAATGATTTGTTAAGACATAGAGGCAAGCTTGAATCTTGACAGGATCCGGATGACATTCGAGGATCGGCCATTCCAGGATGGTGGTTTGAATTCAGTGTTGTTCATACTTCTTGTTGCTTGTGCCAAACCGTTCTGAAATGGTTGGACTACGAACCCCGGATTTTGTTGTGCGTTCGCATTTTATTAAATCGCCTTTCAATCGGGGTTAGCGGTGGACTTACATGTCGGTGGCAGGGTGACCAGCAGAAAGGGCTTCGACTGGAACAGGAAAATCTGCAAAAAGCTTCAGCCATATACCGGTCTGGCCCATCACCAATTAGGAGTAGTTTTACCGGCATTTTCTTTCGAATTTTAGCAAAAACTTTTACTACATCCTTTACCCGCTTCACTTTTCTAAAATTGGAAACATGGGCTAAAATATGCTCTCCATTTGGTGCCATTGAAGCTCTCAACTCTAAATCTACCTCAGGGTGATCACATCCCTCTATGCAAACAAAGTTGGGAATTACTTCAATTTCTCGATTAACTTTAAAGTGCTCAAATGTGTCCTTTTTTAAACTCTCTGAAACGGTAGTTACAGCTGTAGAATGATTTATTGCAAAAGTAATTACAGGCTCAAATGAATTATCTTTTCCAACTAGTGTGATGTCTGTTCCGTGCAGGGTGGTGATAAATGGAATTTCAATTCCCTCATCTTTTAATATTTGCTGTGCCATATATGCTGCTGAAGCGTGTGGAATGGCATAATGCACATGAAGGATATCCAATTGCTCAAATTTTACAACATCAACTAATTTGCTCGCTAAAACCAACTCATAAGGAGGGTATTCGAATAAGGGATAGTCAGAAACACTTACCTCATGATAAAATATATTTTCACTAAAACTATCTAAACGAACAGGCTGCTGATATGATATAAAATGAATTTGATGCCCCTTAGCGGCTAATGCTTTCCCTAATTCTGTTGCTACAACTCCGCTTCCGCCAAAAGTTGGATAGCATACTATTCCAATATTCATTTGCTTTGTGGTTCAATTAGTGCCGACTGCGAATTTCGGAAATTACTTTCAGCAATAGCATCATAAATGACTTCTTGTATTCTTGTTCTAATGTTCATCGAAACTAATTTACCGTTAGTTGCATCCGGGTAAATTCGGTTAGATAGAAAAACATAAACGATTTGCTCATCAGGGTCAGCCCAAGCATAAGTGCCCGTAAATCCTGAGTGTCCAAAACTGGCATAGGAGACACAATCACAGGTAGGACCAGGCTCTCCATGCCATGCAGGCTTATCAAAGCCTGCACCTCTTCGGTTTTCTTCCTTGTTTTGAGGGATATCTCCTTCACAAAACTGACATTTTTGATATTCAGTTAATACTTCTTCCTTTAAGTAGCGTTGCCCGCCATAAGTGCCACCATTTAAGTACATCTGCATTAATTTACCTAAATCGTTGGCAGTTGAAAACAAACCGGCATGTCCTCCTATTCCACCGAGCATAGCAGCTCCAGGATCGTGAACATCACCATGAATCAACTGCTTGCGAAAGATATTATCATCTTCGGTTGGAACAATCTCACTTAAATCAAACTTGTTTCTTGGCTTGAAGGTTGTTCTGCTCATGCCAATTGGTCCATAAAAATTTTCTTGATTATAAGCCTCAATGGATTCTTTTGTGATTTTCTCAACCACTTCTTTCATAAAGTAATATCCTATATCACTGTATTTATATTCTTTTTTGGGATCAAGTTTTGCCCTATTTATAATGCGACTATAGATAGTGTCTTCATAGTTTTTATTGATATATAATTTTTCAGCGACTCGATTGGAATAAGTTGTCGATGAATCACTACTATATATGTCATACCTCGGCATTCCGTGATGCAAGGTTTTAACGTAGAAAGGAATCCAAGCAGCTAGTCCAGCTTGATGTGCTAACATATCGCGTAAAACGATGTCCTCATAATCGGTTCCTCGAACCATTTTCAAATGCTTGCCTAATTTATCATCTAAGGACAACTCATCTTCACTATCTAATTGCATTATTGCCAATAAGGTAGATGCTATTTTTGTAATTGAAGCAATGTCATATAAATCCGTTGGTTTAATCGTATCATTAGCAGTGTAAGTGGGTCTACCAAATGATTTATTATAAATTACTTGTCCATCCTTTGCTATAAAAACTTGAGCTCCTGGAAAAGCGTTTGCAGCAATCCCCTCTAATACAATAGAATCAACTGAATTAAAATTTGAAGAGGCTAATCCAACCGCCTCTGGCATAGTATAATTAAATCGAATAGGTGTTTTAGACTCTATACCCATACCCATTTCAATGTTTCGATTAATATTTACTGGAAGCTTCCCTGTAGCTTTAATGCCTCCAAAAATCAATTGAGCACTTAATTCTTGTGCATCAATGCTATTTTGATAAGCCATAATCAATGCATCAACATAATCTGCCGCTAAAAACTCTTTTAAACTATAGGCATTGGCAAAAACAGCAAGTGTTATTTTCTTCTTCAAACGAAGAATATTTATAAAGTTTTTAAACTCTGTATTCAGCTCAGCTGAAACCCAAGGGTTTTTATTGGACTTATGAATACTCACAATAATTTCATCGTAAGTCAACAGTGTATCCATCAGCGTCTTTTGTTTTGCAACAGGAAGCTCAGCATAATGAAGAGTATCTACCCTTGCATAATTGTTCAAACTTTTTTGAAAAGGTCTATAACTAACCCCCTCTTCAGCCAAAACTACATTAACAATACGTTTATCATTTAACTCTTTAATAGGAAGGATATTCTTCTTATTGCGGAGCAGGGTTAAGCTATGCTCCATTAATTTTCGATTCAAGTTTTTATATTTTGCCTGATTCAAGTCCATAACCAAGCCCTCAATTTTTACAGGATTCATCTTGTCTAAACCCAACCATTCTTTAGCTCTCAACACTTTAAGTGAAGAACGATTTATAGCAGCAGTATCTAGTCGACCATCAGCTAAAGCAGCTTTGATGAGTTCAAAAGCCTTAGGAATATCTTGAGAGAGTAGTAACACATCATTACCGGCTATTAGGGCTTGTAAATCAATGTCTTGAGATTCTTGATATTTTGCAACTCCACCCATATTTAAGCCATCAGTAAATACCAAGCCTTTATATTCTAATTCTTGCAATAACATAGTGTCTACCACCTCAGATGTCAAAGATGAGGCCCTTTTATCTACTCCTGTTATTTGAGGCAAGTACAAATGAGCTGTCATAATACTGCTAATTCCTGAATCAATGAGTTTCCTAAAGGGATATAACTCTAATGAATCAATACGCTCTCGATTAAAATTGACTACAGGTAGACTCTTATGAGAGTCAGTATCCGTATCTCCATGGCCTGGAAAATGTTTTGCACAGGCCAATAGGTTACCATCTTGCATGCCTTTCATGTAAGCAATTCCCTTTCGAGCAACATTTCGTTTATCTTCCCCAAAGGATCGGGCAAATATTACAGGGTTTTCTGGATTGTTGTTTACATCTACTACTGGGGCAAAATTTACATGTACGCCAATCCGTCTAAACTGTTCTGCAACATCTAAGCCCATTTGATACAACAATTCATCATCTTGTATTGCCCCTAAGGTCATTTGCCATGGGTATTTAATAGTGCTATCTAGTCGCATTGATAAACCCCACTCCCCGTCTATGGCAATCATTAATGGCGTTTTAGCTAATGATTGGTAGCGGTTAGTCAATTTTGCTTGTTGAACTGGACCTCCTTTAAAGAAAGTAAGACCTCCCAAATGATATTCTTGAATCAAGCTTTCAACTTCCTTCTCATAATCCTTCCCTTTAGTAGAATTGGCGGCAACATTAAATAATTGACCAATCTTCTCATCCAAGGTCATTTGGGCATGAATAGAATCCGCCCACACTGAATTTTGCTCTAAAAATGGCGGTTGTTCACGCTCTTCATTCACTGAGAAGGAAAAAAATGAAATCGGGATAAGAAGAATTAGAAGTCGTTTAATTTTCAACTTGTGAGTGATTTGGATTTTAGCAGCTAAATTACCACAAGTTAATAGCAAATAGGTTGCCATTTATTGGACTTATAAACACCCAAAAGTGAAATTATTATAAATGTTAACCCCACTAAACATACTATTAAGTCGTTAATCTCCGTTTGAACTGCATTGTAATCCTTAATTTTGAATTATGT